ACACGCATGGCATGGCACACTGTCCCTCACAACAATAATAAGGTTAAAAATAAAATGGGGTCTGGAGAAATGGCTCAGCAGTTAAGAGCACTGACTACTCTTGCAGAGGACCCGGGTTTGATTCCCAGCACCCACATGGTGGCTATGAACCATCCTTAACTCCAGTTCCAGGGGAATCCGAAGCCCTCTTCTGATCTCCATGGCATTGCATGACACAGGTGCACTCACATACATGCCAGCAATACACTCATACACATAAAATAATAATAATTTTTTTGGTCTTTTTGAGACAGGGCCTCCCAGTAGCCCCAACTGTCCTGGACCTCACTATGTAGACCAGGCTGTCCTTGAACTCACAGAGATCCACCTGCCTCTGCCTCCCAAGTGCTGGGATTAAAGGCGTGCGCCACCACGCCTGGCTTAAATAAAATATTTTAAAAAAAATGAAATAGCCAGGCATGATGGTGCATGCCTTTAGTCCCAGCACTTGGGAGGCAGAGGCAGGCAGATCTCTGTGAGTTCAAGGCCAGCCTGGTCAACATAGTGAGTTCCAGACCAGCTGGGGTTACAGAGACCCTGTTTCAAAAAGACCAAAATAATAATAGTAATAATAATAATAAAATGAAATAAATAATAATAAGTCCCAGAAAGTGTCTATAAAATGGAATGGCAGCGTACTCTGTGGTGAAGGTGAATGCTTCTTCCTCATGACTAGAACAGGCAAGAATGCCTGCTCCTGGCACTTCTGAACATTGTACCATAGGTCACAGCTCCCACAATGAGTTACCAAAGAATAAATAAAGTTGTCAGACAGTGAAGAAACATAGCCTCTTTTTGCAGACACTGCAGTCAATCTACAAAACCGAGATACTAGAACTAATCCATGGGCTTAGCAGTCCGAGGAGACAAAAAATGTATTTCTCTATATTAATGGTGAATGATTGGAAATACAATTAAAAATACCACCATAAGGCCAGGCGTGGTGGCGCACGCCTTTAATCCCAGCACTCCGGAGGCAGAGGTAGGCGGATCTCTGAGTTCAAGGCCAGCCTGGTCTACATAGTGAGTTCCAGGACAGCTGTGGCTACAGGGAGACCCTGTCTCAAAAAGACCAAAAAAAAAAAAAAAAAAAAAAAACCACTGTGAATGTCTACGATGAATGTTGACACAAAGTGATTTTTGCCCAGTGCCCTGAATGGCAAAGTGAAGAAATTCAATAAAGTTCTGGTAAACAGCAGAGTCACTATGACTCAAAATGCCTCATCATTAATTAGTTATATGAATCAAGTAAAACCATGGCCAGGGGAATGGATCTCACAGAATGGGGGAGGGTTATACCTGGAGATGTAGCTCAGTGGTAGACTATGTGCCTAGGATGCATGAGACTTTGGGGTTTGACCCCAGCACTGAAAAAAAAAAAGTTAAAAAAAATATCATGAGATAGGGAGTAGGGCATGGTGCAGCACGCCTCTGATCCCAGCACTCCGGAGGCAGAGGCAGGCAGGTCTCTGTGAGTTCGAGGCCAGCCTGGTCTACATAGTGAGTTCCAGGTCAGCCGGGGCTACAGGGAGACCCTGTCTCAAAAAGACCAACAACAACAAAAATCATGAAATAGGAAGAAATCTAACCAAAATGACAAGATTCATGGGCTAACAACTACAAAACATACTAAGGGAAACGAAAGCCGATTCCAGTGAACAGGCAGGTGGACAAGTGCACTGCGTTCACGGATCAAATGATCCATATCACTAACAAGTCTGTTCTCAGATCGACCCACAGAGTCTGCTAAATTTTCCTTTCTTTCATCATCCACTACATGGAGAACTTGAAGTCAGCCTGGGTCATGAGATCCTGTCTCAAAAATAAAAGAGTTCAAGTCCCAACATGGTGGCACATGCGGTTAATCCTGGGCAGGCAAATCTCTGTAAGTTTGAGGCCAGTCTGGTGTAGATAGTAAGTTCCTTGGCCATCCAGGGCTACACAGCAAGACCCTGGTCTCAAAAAAATCAAAACCAAACAAAACAGGAAAAAAGAAAGGAAGGAAGGAAGGAGGGGGGACGGGGGGAGGGAGGGAGGAAGGAAGAAAGGAAGAAAGAAAGAAAGAAAGAAGAAAGAAAGAAAGAAAGAAAGAAAGAAAGAAAGAAAGAAAGAGAAAGAGAAAGAGAAAGGGAAAGAAAGAAAAAGGAATAATGAGTTTGAGGCCAGCCTAGTCTAGATAGCGAGTTCCTGGTTAGCCAGGGCTACACGGTGAGACCCCCATGTCAACAACAAAACAAAAACAGAGCAAAGCAAAGCTGGGCGCGGTGGCGCACCCCTTTAATCCCAGCACTTGGGAGGCAGAGGCAGGCGGATCTCTGTGAGTTCAAGGCCAGCCTGGTCTACATAGTGAGTTCCAGGACAGCTGGGGCTACAGGGAGACCCTGTCTCAAAAATACAAAAAAATTAAAAAATGCAATAAGCATACAATATCCAAAACATCTTTGAAAAAGAACACAGTTGGAAAACTTACATTAGCTAATTTGGTTCCTGGAGGGGAGTGTGCTTTTCTGAGATAGGGACTTAGAGTGCCTAGGTTGGCCTGGAACTCACTTAGTCCAAACTGGCCTTGAACTTGCAGGGACCCGCCCACCTTTGCCGTTCAAGTGCCAGGATCACAGGTATGTGAGTCAACACTCCCAACCACCAATTTCTTAAAAATAAAATTTAAGATCTATTTATTATTTATTTATTTTTTTATTTATTATTTATTGTTCTTTTTGAGATGGGGTCTCCCTGTAGCCCCAGCTGTCTTGGAACTCACTATATAGACCAGGCTGGCCTTGAATTTAGAGATCTGCCTGCCTCTGCCTCCAGAGTGCTGGGATTAAAGGAGTGCGCCACCATGCCCAGCTATGATCAACATTTTTTTTTTTTTTGTCTTTTTGAGACAGGGTGTCCCTGTAGCCCCAGCTGGCCTGGAACTCACTATGTAGACCGGGCTGGCCTTGAACTTGTAGGGATCCTGCTGCCTCTGCCTCCAAAGTGCTGGGATTAAAGGCATGCACCACCATGCCCGACTTTATTTTATTTTTTCAAAATGTTTTATTTACTATTTTTATGTTATGTGTATGTGTGTATTGCTTGCATGTAGGTAAGTGCACCCGTGCTGTGTAATGCCTGTGAAGGAGAGAAGAGGCTGTCAGATGCCTGGAACTGGAGTTACGGACAGTTGTTAGCTGCCATGTGGGTGCTGGGATTCAAACCCAGGTCTTTGGCAAGAACAGGCAATGTTCTTAACTGCTGAGCCATCTCCCCAGCCCCTTTATTTTTAATTATGTATATTATGTGTGTGTTTCTCTGTGTGAATGTGCAGGCCAGGTACAGGCACTTGCAGAGGCCAGAGGCATCAGATCCCCCTTGGAGCTGGAATTAGAGTTACAGGCAACTGTGACCAACCCATTATGTGTACTGGGAACCAAACACAGGTTCTCTGCAAGAGCAGTACATGTTCTTAACCTCTGAGCCATCTCTCCAGTTCCCCCGTTATATCTATCTATCTATCTGTCTGTCTGTCTTTCTATTTATCTAAGTATATTATGCCAGGCATGATGGTGCATACTTGTAATCTCAGCATTTAGGAGGTGGAGGCAGGAGGATAAAGGGTTCAGGGCCACCCTTGACTATACCAGAACTTGTCTCAAAATTGAGAGATAATGAGAGAAAGAAAAGAGTCCATTGAATGGAAAGAAATATTTATTTACTTTAGCTTGGTCTTTTTGAGACAGGGTCTCCCCACAGATGCAGCAATCTGGAACTTGCTATAGAGACCACACTGGCCTGGATCTCACAGAGATCCACCTGCCTCTGCCTCCTGAGTGCTGGGATTAAAGGTGTGTGCCATCATGCCTGGATAATAAATCTTTTTTTTTAATATATTTTTTTATTTTTTATTTTATGTGTCTAAGTGTATTGCCTGCATAAGTGAGTGTACCCATGTCATGCAACGCCTCAGAGGTTAGAAGAGGGTTTCGGATTCCCCTGGAACTGGAGTTAAGGTCGGTTCATAGACGCCATGTGGGTGCTGGGAATCGAACCCGGGTCCTCTGCAAGAGCAGTCAGTCCTCTTAACCACTGAGCCATCTCTCTGGCCCCAATAAATCTTTAAAAAAAAAAAAAGCACCAGCCAGGTCTGGTGGCCCACACCTTTAATCCCAGTACTTGGGAGGCAAAGGCAGATGGATCTCTGTGAAATTGAGGTCAGCTTGGTCTACATAGTGAGTTCCAGGCCAGCTGGGGCTACAGGGAGACCCTGTTTTTTTTTTTTAAAAAAAAAAAAAGAAAACTCAAAACAACAATATAAAGCGTTAATGTAGCCAGGCATGGTGATGCACGTTTTTAATTCCAGCACTTGGAAGACAGTTTAAGGGCAGCCTGGGCCACATAATGAGTCCTGGGCTAGCCTGAGCTACAAAAGGAAACTGAGCCGGGCGTGGTGGCGCACACCTTTAATCCCAGCACTCAGAAGGCAGAAGCAGGCGGATCTCTGTGAGCTCAAGGCCAGCCTGGTCTACATAGTGAGTTTCAGGACAGCTGGGGCTACAGGGAGAAACTGTTTCAAAAAGACCCCCCCCCAAAAAAAAAGACAGAAAGAAAGAAAGAAAATTTTGAAAAAAAGGAAGGAAGGGAGGGAGGGAGGGGGGTGTGAGAGCATGAGAGCATGTTCTGGAAGACTGTAGCAAATCCTGCTTTAGGCTCAGCTTTGCTGTCCTCTGTTCTCTTCCCTACTTTGCCACATCTTACAAGCTCTGAACAGTTCTGCAGCCTGTCTGGGAGCACAGGCTGGTGTGCATTCTGGGAGGTTCCCTTCACTGAGAAGGGAACTGGACAGGACAGGGTGGACACTTGGCGCCATCCAGGTCCCTAGGCCCATAGACACTGGCTGGCCACATGTGAGAAGGCCCAGCCCCCTTCGTTCTTAGCTCTACTCTGTTTATGGTTTTTGATACCAGAGGAACTCAAAGCTGGACAGTAAAGTGGCAGAAACACTTTATCCGGGGTTCTTGTTATGGGGCAGAAACCTCACTCTGGAACTGGGCTTAGAGCACAGCACGGCTTGTGGGAACTGCTGGCCCAGAGGCAGGTGGGGGTCAGTACATGGAAAATTACTGGCAGCAAACCCTGTGGCTCAGGGCAACCAGGCTACATCAACCTAATAGGATTCTTTCTGAAGGCAGGCCAAGGCTGGGGACAGCAGCTAGGAAGGCGGAGGCTTGGGAGTCTGGTAAGGTGGCAGTCTACCTGCCATGAAGTTTCTTGATAAAATTGCATTTTCATTTAATTTTGTTTGGTTTTTTTTTTTTTTTGAGACAGGGTCTCCCTGTAGCCTCAGCTGGCCTGGAACTCATTATGTAGACCAGGCTGGCCTTAATCTCACAGAGATCCACCTGTCTCTGATTTTCAAGTGCTGGGATTAAAGGCATGAGCCACTGTGCCTGGCTATTTAATTTTTAACATTTATTTATGTATTTTATGTGTGCATATTGTATATGTATATGTACAAGGTGAGACTGGTGGGCATGTACCACAGCACACATGTGGCGGTCAGAGAACACTGCAGTACTCAGCTCTCTCCTTCCAGTCAGTTCTCCCCTGGATTTTACAAGAATGAGCACTCATGGGCCAAGGAACAGCTCCAGAAGCCCAATGGAAACTTGAGCGAGTGGAGAATGAATCTGTCAGGAGTTCAGTGAGGTAAACAGCGCCCAGCCAGGGCCAGGCACCCACTGCCCCTCGCTCTGTGTTGCCTCTCCTGCTCGTTCAAAACAGTGTTGACTTCTTTTCCTGCTGGTACCCTCAAGAAAAAGGTAGGAGGGTAAGGTCCTTAAAAATCCACCCCCACCCCCGAAAGGACCTGCCCTTGGGGTACAGGAAGCCCAGATGAGTCAGAACCAAGGCAGAGGCCACTGCAGACCCAGTACCTTACTCTGCCCCCTACCACTGTAGGACAGGCACCCCGCATCCCAGGATTGTATTAGTGCAGAGTCCTTGGCACCCCTCATTCCTGAGTCTTCTAAGCCTCAGGGGTGTCCCCATTACCGAACTCAAAGAGGGGATGACCCTGGCTGGGGGGTTCAATCTCTCCATCTGTGCCCCAGGGAAGTGGGAGCAGAAGCTTTAGGTGGGGCAGCATTTACCATTCAGTCTTGCACATGTGGACCTTGCACAGTGGAAGCAGACTAAAGGCCTTTGCCTTCTGACCTTTGCCTTCTGGCCACTGCCTGGACCAAAACAGCAAGGGCAGCTTTGGGATAGGGTTTCCTGTGGGCTGCTGAGAAGGTGCTATGGAAGGCAAAGTCCCTGGGAGCACTCCTCTTCCTGAGTTCTGCTGCACAGGGGGTGGACCAAACAGTAGGGCTACCTCGTGGACCTTATAGACGTGTGCAAATCACCAGGGGCTTGTAGGCACTGGAGGGTAGCCTGGCTCACGAGTGGAAGAGGGGACCCATGGCTTGGAGGCCCAAGATCCAGTGCTCCCTAAGATAGAGTCTGGGGTTACCCCCCCCCCAGGACACATCTGACCAGGGAGCTGATTCATGGGCCAGGGAGAGGAAGAAGGGGTATCAGGGCAGAGGGTGACAGAGACCAGAGAAGACCAGATGTAATCCAGAGGAATGGGAGCTAAATGGACACTTGGCGATGGACTGGGCTCAGAGAGGAGCTTTGGGATCATCACCGGGTGCCTGTAGGTGGGAGGTAGAGGACAGGACACTTGGATAGGGGATGGAGGCCTCAGAAGAGTGGACTGGGGGGTGGTGGGGGCACTAGTGGAGAGAGAGTACTCAACTTCAACCTGTAAGCCCCAGGTACATAAAGAAGTTTTCAGAAGGCAGCATGACCCTCAGTGGTCCAAGATGTGGAGAAGCCAGAGAAGTAGAGACCTGGAAGCATACACAGGAGTTGTTGACCCCAAGGTCACTGGGCAGAAGGGGAGTGCCTGGGTATGGGAGGTGAGCCAGCTGGAAGGCGGCTCAAGGGCCCACTGGGGTGTGGGGCAGTGAAGTGGTGAGTCCGGGGGTGTGTGAGCTTTGGATTCCTCAGAAAAAGTTTCCCAGGGTTGTACAGATGGAGGAGGACAGAGACAGGAGGGGAACCACGGTGTGTGTGGGGGGGGGGGGGCAGGGGGCAGGGCAATGGGTTATGGAATGAGTAATATTGGAGGGGCTTATCAGACAGGACAAGTCCCTAGGCCCATAGCAGATGTAACACAGACAGGTTGAAGGGACACCAAGCCTTCTGGAGCACCGCACATACCTTGACCTCCCCCACCTCCACTCCCACAGCAGGTGTTGGGGCAGAATTAGTATCACCGAGGAGCCAGGTGGTCAGGTGGTCCTAAGTAAGGGACTCTGTTCTTCCAGCAAAATCAGAAAGGCAACCTGAATGACCCCAGGACAGCGCACAAAGCAAGAGGGAAGCCGGTTGTGCCACACCCACGCGTGTAGCGGTGGGGCGTTCAGACTCGCCAGGCCCAGCACCTGCCAGGCCAGGATTCACCCACGGAGGGTCTCTGGGGTCCAGGGTCTACACGACTGGATCCGCAGGTTTACGGTCTACAGGGCGAGGGTCCTGCGGAGGGACCCGCGGGGTCGGAGTCTGGGTCAGGGCCTGCGCAGGGGGCTCGTGTGCCGGAGGGAGGGACGCGCGGGTCCTCGGGATGCGGCTCCGCACCGCAGGGTCGCGGGGAGAGGGTCTGCGAGGCCCCGGGCTGGTGCGCAGAGAGGCGCGGGTCGGACCCTCGCCACCCCCCTCCCGGCCGCTCCCGCCCCCGCCCCCTCCGCCGCTGCCGCCCAGCGCAGCCGCCGGGAAGTTTGCGTGCTGCAGGCGCGGAGCCGACTCGGACCCCGATCCCACGGCCAGCGCGGCACAGACCGGCTGCATCCGGCGCCTCGACCCTGCGCGCTCCAGGACGACGCGGAGTCCAGCCCCGGCCCGAGCGGCAGCGCGCGGTGAGCCCTTGGGTCGGGACTCGAGGGGACGGTCCCCGCCAGTCCGTGGGGCGCTGGAGGGGGCGGGCGCGGCCAGGGCGCGCAGCGGAGGACCGGCTGTCCCCGCGGTCTTGGGGGATCGCTGTTCTAGTTCCCGTCGGACACCTCCATTCCCAACCCCCGGAAGGCATCCTCCCGCCCGGACGGTCACCAGATCCAGAACCGTCCAGCAGGTTCAGAGGCTCTCCACCAGGCCTTCTGCTCCCTGGGAGCGCAGTCTGCGCGGTGCAAGAGGGTGGGCGCAGCCGTCAGTCCGGCACCCCACGACGCCCAGGACGCACGGGTCAATCCTGCACCCCATTATGCTCAGGACGCACTCCACCTCCCCGCCCCTCCCCCAAAGACTCCTGTATCCCCTCTGCTTTGCCGGCTTCTCCCTCCCAAGTGTCCCTGATCCCTAGGACTCCCCAGCAGTGACTCAGAGATGGGGTGAGGGGCGTCGGCATCCCACCTGATGCGCTCTAATTCCGAGGCCCACACTTGTTACTTTGACCCCCCCCCCCCAGCACAGGTCACTCACTGCCCTGGCCCTGTTCCGGGCTTTCCAGTCCCCACCCCCGCACCTTCAGAGCCGCCGGGTTTATGTCCCGAACAGACTAACCCCTCACCTCTTGGCGCCTGCATCCTCCTAGGACCGATCAGGGCTGTTTTGAGGTTCTTCTGTGTTGCGGACAGTGGGGGAGGGGGAATCACAACTTGCCCTGGCTGGTATCCCCAGACCTGCCTGCCCTTTTAGGGGGAGGACTCAGGAATCAGGCTTTGTCAACAGCCTGTAGCCCCTGATCCTGTTCCTGCCCCTGGGCCATGACCTGTACTGCTTTCTCTGCTTTAACATAAAACATCTCTTCTCCCTGTTGGTACCATTAGGGGCACCTCAGATCATAGTAGATGTACCCTCCCCGACTTTGGATCCTAGAGAACCAGGAACAGCCCAGATGAATCCTTCCTAGGCCAGTGGGCCATCCATCTGACCTGGTTCTGGGGAGGTCTCTCAACCACCAACACAGGAAATTGGTGGCTAACCAGCCACACCACAAACACCCAAACATCTTGTATCCTGCCAGAGCCAGCACAGGGCAGTGCTCGGCCATGGGGCAGTTCCAACCTGGGTGGCAGATATGTGCTGTGGAGAAGGGAGGGTAGGGAGGGGCATGCTGACATCTTAGGGAACCTGACCTGTAGCTTCAATCCTCCACTGGTAGTTGGGCCCCACAGTCTTGATCCTGAGAGGAACTTCAGTGGCCTAGACCAAGAAGGGAGAGGGGTAGGATCCCTTGCCTGCTGTCCCCTACCCTCACCTGCTCCCTTCCAGGAAGGGTAATAAAGATGGAAAAAGGGCCAGGCTTTCAGCTCCAGCCACAGGGACCAGGGAGTCACATCTCCACCTGGCTGCCTGTCATCCAGGGCCGGGACCATGTTCTCACTGGATGAATATTTATCAATGCTAATGGGACCTGTGGGTGTCAGGGCTTACTCCATGGGGGGCCAGGGGGAAGAGACTAGTCAGGACACACAGACTGGTCAGTTCTTCCCTGTAGACAACACAGCCCTGTGCCCGCTGGAGACTCTTTCCCTTCAGAGATAGGAACTAGGGATGCTTACTCAGTCCCAGGCTTCAGGTGTCTGTCTTCCCTGGGCTTAGCCTCATGCCTGGATGCTGTCTGCAGAGACCCCAGTGCCTCAGCCTTGTGGGACTGAAAAGCAGTCTCTCCTCCCCCTCTAACGGTTCAGAGAAGTGTGGAGAACTCTCCTTGTCCTCACTTCCCACACCCACAGGAATAGGAAACATCCACTTCTTAAAAATATTTTATTTATTTTATGTGTATGAATGTATTGCCTGCATGTATGTAAGTGCACCTGTGTTATACAATGCCTGTGGAGGATGGACGAGGGTGTTGGATCCCCTGGAACTGGAGTTATGGATGGTTGTTAGCCTCCATATGGGTGCTGGGAATCAAATACAGGTCCTCTGCAAGAGCACTCAGTGCTCTTAACCATCAGAGATGCTGAGTCATCTCTCCACCTCCCCAAACCCCTACTTCTTTCCCAAATTCTATGAGACCCAGATGATAGTGAACCAGGCTGGACCCCTAGTGACTTAGGCAGCAGATGGGGCTGTTTCATCCAAATCAGGGTCACCTCTTGGTGAGAGAGGCCTGCCTCAACCCTGAGGGCTCATAATGAGACCCTACTGCAGGCCCTGTAGACAAGTCTTAGGAAGCCCCTTTCTGCTCCCCCCATGAGAGTCCATCAGAAGAACCAAGGAGTGTTCTGGAGCAGTGTGAAGCTGATGTGTGCCATGCCAGGCAGTACCAGGCAGGGGTGTCCCTTGTCTGGGTCCTGGCAGCTAGCAGTGTTAATCTCAAAGGAATGTTATGCCAACCAAGCCTGTAGTGTCCCTGGGGACCCAGAGGCGCTACAAGGCCCACAGCATCATACGGACATGCTGATCCTGGGAAAAAGGACATACACATGCAGAGACCACCTGAGCACGTGCTCCTCACTCGCACCTGGCCCTGATAGGCTGGGAACTGTCCTGGCATGGGGCCAAGTGGCAGTGAGCCTGGATACCTTGCCCTCATGCTCTCTACCCTGGGTCAGGTTACCTGGCCAGCCAGCTTTCCCAGGGGCTAAGAATAGGTGGGGAGGAGGTCTGGGCCCAGCCAGGTGCCACAGGACTGAGGGAGGAGGTGGCAGCTAGGGAGCTGGTGCCACTTGAGAGATCTGGGTGACCAGATAGGAAGGTGGCTCATGTCAGTCAGCCCCAGGTGGCGGGAAAGCCAGCTTCACAGTCACCCAGCTCTCTACTGGCACTGGCAGCCACTTAGGTGTCCCAGACCTCAGCCCCACCTACCTAGTAGGTCTCAGGCTCAGACACTTGGTTTTAGAAGACAAAGTGCTCTCTAGACTTTTCCCAGACTCTGCTATTCTGGCCCTCTGCAGCCTAAGGAGGGGTGTACACACCCCAAGGACCCAGACGTGTGGCCCCTGCCAAATGTGGGGGGCGACTGTCCGGAGCCATGCCCCCTGCCCAGCCTCGCTGTACCCACCTGCTGCTGTTGCTGTTGCTGTCCTGCCAGGTGAGTGCTGGGTACCCCACACCCAGCATGGAGGGCTGCCCGCCCTGCACACAAGTGCTGACTGCCACTGGCTCTCTGTCCTGTTCTTCTTGTTGCTTGACTCCTTGTCCCCTAGCCACAGGCCCCCTCAGCCCAGGTGATGGACTTTCTATTTGAGAAGTGGAAACTCTATGGTGACCAGTGCCACCACAACCTGAGCCTGCTGCCCCCACCCACTGGTGAGCCCCATCCCACAGAGGCTCTTGTGTCCTCCTGCCCTACTTGAATGTGCAACGCAGAGCCCTCTTTGTGAGAATGTAACAGCGACACTATCAGGGGCTTTGTCGTGCCCAACCACCTGCCCCCATTTACAGGCTAGTGACTTGCCCAAGCCTTATAGTCAGAAAACAACAGAAACGCAGAATTTCCCTGGTGCTGGAGCACATCACTGCCCTCTCTGCTGCAGGGTGCCGCCATCCCCAGCCTGGCAATGCCTCTGCTCCCACCAGGCTCACAGTGGGCAGACAGTGTATGGGGAAGACCCATAGAGGTGTCAGGAGAGACTGAGTCCATGTCATTGTCCAGTTGAAGGAGATGAATTGTATCTGGCAGAGGGTGAGCAGGATGTGGGAACTGCAAGGTTGGTACTGAGCCTGGAAAAGGTATCAACAGAATTGGGGACCAACTGCCAGAGGGACAGGTGATACAAGAGGGTCGGGAGGGGCTGTAAGTAATGGCTTAGCAGGGAAAGGTACCTGCTCTGGGACCCACATAGGGAAAAGGACAGAACTGACTCCTGCAAGCTGCCCTCTGACTTCTACATGCATGTCAAGTATGTCCGCACACATGCACATACACAAATAAGTAAATACATGTAAAGAGAAGGAACTAATATGAAGAGAAAGCAGGAAAAAGGGAGGCCCAACACGAGAGAGGTCTCAAAGGGAAGGTATCCTGAGCAAGCTTAAGTCATGGCTAGGCTGGAGAGGGACTTGGGCATGTTGGGGTCCAGGAGGCAAAATGACCAGTCAGAGGCTGCCCTGCGGCCTGGGTCAGGGAGGCAGCCACTCTGGCTCAGGCTCAGAGAGGTGATGGCAATCCTTGGGGAGCAGAACAGGTTGGAGGCTTCCAGAAAGCAAGAAGCATTGTTGCCCAGCCAGACCTTCTGAGAAGCTGCTCTTGTACCTTCCCCACTGCCACAGAGCTGGTCTGTAATAGAACCTTTGACAAGTATTCCTGCTGGCCTGACACCCTGCCCAATACCACGGCCAACATCTCCTGTCCCTGGTACCTACCTTGGTACCACAAAGGTAACTCTGGAAGGCTTGGGAGGCTAAGGGGGAAGAGCCTGAGGGTGGGCTGACCAGAACTTGCCTCCATGCCCCAGTGCAGCACCGCCTGGTGTTCAAGAGGTGTGGGCCTGATGGGAAGTGGGTGCGAGGGCCACAGGGGCAGCCGTGGCGCAACGCCTCCCAGTGTCAGATGGACGATGAGGAGATCGAGGTCCAGGTCAGCACTGGTGGGAGGGAGGGGGCATCACAGTGGGGCTGGCTGGGGCCAGGAAAGGTGGCGCCACCCAACTCTGCCCAGCCTCTGGTTTGCAGAAGGATGTGGCCAAGATGTACAACAGCTACCAGTTGATGTACACAGTGGGCTACGGTCTGTCCCTGGGGGCCCTGCTCCTGGCCCTGGTCATCCTGCTGGGCCTCAGGTACACTGCCGTCATCCATGGCCAACACTCAGTGCAGGGAGGGGGGCATGGGGCAGGGCAGGGGTGGTGCCAGCTGATTGCTGTCGCCACAGGAAGCTGCACTGCACCCGTAACTACATCCATGGGAACCTGTTCACGTCCTTTGTGCTCAAGGCTGGCTCTGTGCTGGTCATTGACCAGCTGTTGAAGACTCGCTATAGCCAAAAGATTGGAGATGACCTCAGTGTCAGCATCTGGCTTGGCGATGGGGTGAGCCCAGATCTCACCCCTCACTGGATGACCCTGCCTGTCTAGGGTGGGCAGGGTGTCATGAACCCTACTCTCATCTCACTTTGCCTAGGCGGTGGCCGGCTGCCGGGTGGCTGCGGTGATCATGCAGTATGGCATTGTGGCCAACTATTGCTGGTTGCTGGTGGAGGGTGTATACCTGTACAGTCTGCTGAGCCTCGCCACCTTCCCGGAGAGGAGCTTCTTTGCCCTTTACCTGAGCATTGGCTGGGGTGAGTGGGCTGATGAGGAGAATGGGGGAACGGGCTGGCCAGGCCATAGGACCACAGCTGCTGTTCCCCACAGGTGCACCCCTGCTGTTTGTCATCCCCTGGGTGGTGGTCAAGTGTCTATTTGAGAATGTGCAGTGAGTATGAGTTGATGGGCTGGCTGGGGCTAGTTGGTGCTGAGCTTGTGGAGTGGTCCTCAGGAGAGAAGGGCTAAGAGGCATACTTTGGCCAAAGGTGGTGGAGGGGATTTATAAACCTGGTGCCTGGGGGTGGGGCTCATTCTAGTCCCTCTGTTTTTTTCTGAGGCATTCGGTAGATCCCAGCAGATAGGGGTGGGGGCTAGGGGACTGCATGCACCCCCAGGATGTGAGCGGCTGGTCCCTGCAGGTGCTGGACAAGCAACGACAACATGGGCTTCTGGTGGATCCTGCGTGTCCCCGTCTTCCTGGCCATCCTGGTGAGGAAATCACCAGGTTACCTGCTGACTCTAGCAGGGCAGGGGCTGCTGGTCGGGCTCCCCCAGGTCCTCCTCCCTCCTTAGCTTTATGGAGGCCAAGGGGAGGCAGCATCGTACTGGGAGGAAGGAGGGTTGGGAGCCCCAGCACTTATCGAAGACATTGCACACCCTGGGCTGTGGGCCGGGCTGCCCATCCTTGGCCATATGCCCAGGGCCCACCTGGCTGCAGGCCCACCTGCAGGGGAGACAGGTGAGGGCCATGCAGGACAGGGAAGTTCTCAGACACCCCCTGCCCTGTGCCTTCCTCCTACAGATCAATTTTTTCATCTTTGTCCGTATCATTCGCCTTCTTGTGACCAAGCTGCGTGCCCACCAGATGCACTACGCTGACTACAAGTTCCGGTGGGCCAGGGCCCAAGGCCAGAGCAGGCTGGAGTGGGGAGCCACGGCCCAAGTGAGCAGAGCTGAGCCCAGGGGCCCTGGAAGGCTAGTGTGCTTAAGCTCTCCCCTTGCAGGCTAGCCAGGTCCACGCTGACTCTCATCCCACTGCTGGGGGTCCATGAGGTGGTCTTTGCCTTTGTGACTGATGAGCACGCCCAGGGCACCCTGCGCTCTGCCAAGCTCTTTTTCGACCTCTTCCTTAGCTCCTTCCAGGTGAGTTCTCACTGTCCCCTACCCCTGGAGCCCAGGAAGCTGCCCCTGACCATCCTCTTTCTCCAGGGTCTGCTGGTGGCTGTCCTCTACTGTTTCCTCAACAAGGAGGTAGGTGGGCTGGGGCCAGGATCTGAGCATGGCACAGATGCTGGCCATCTGGTCATCATGGCCCCAACATGACCGTGCCCTCCTCCCCATTATTATGGTTGCCATGTGTTAGGTGTTAGGCCCCACAAGTCCTCAGAGAGTTAAATGTGAGGTAGTCCCTGCTTTCCTTGGTGACATATGGCCCTGTTGTGCCCAATATGGAGCTGGCCCTGCTCTGGGTCTGCTCAGAGGAACCTCGGGACCCCAGGCACTGTCCTAGGAAGGTAGGCTAGCAGAGTTGCCGAATCCCTGGTGCCCCTAGGTACAAGCCGAGCTACTGCGGCGTTGGAGTCTCTGGCGTGAAGGCAAAGCCCTTCGGGAGGAGCAGCTGGCCAGCAGCCAAGGCAGCCACAATGCGCCAGCAGGGGCCAGCCGCGGTGCTCCCTGTGAGAAACTGCAGTTTGTAAGCATGGGCAGCAGCAATGGGACTGGCCATGACCCTTCTGCAGAGACCTTCTTGGCCAGTAGCCTCCCAGACTAAGAGCTTCACCTGAGGAGCCCCTGGAGCCCTGACTGGCCGGTCTCAAAAAGGAGGACAACCTCCTCCCAGGACAACCCAGAACCAGATGCCTGGCCAAGGCTGGAAAGACAGAGCAACCAGACATCAGCTCACTGTCCACACCTCCCCCAACCTGTCAAAACCCCAGGACAAGTCACATCAATGGAGTGGGGGTTGGGTACGATGGGGAGCTGAGTTGTGAATTGTGGACTTGTGTGTCAGTGTGTCCCACGCACATAGATGTATGTCCTTCAATAAAAAGCCCAATAGTGGCTGCTGTGTATGTCCTGGAGGCACGGGACGTTTAGGTGGGCTAGACCAGCTCAGGGAGTGAGAGCAGCTGCAGGTGGGACGAAGCCTGTGTGCTCCAAGGGTAGCCAACAGTGCCTGTGCCCATCTGAGCTGGTTCCTACCACCCTCTCATTCTGGCTCAGTCAGTAGTTCTCCGTGCTTTGGCCCCAGTCCTCCCAAAGGCCACCATTCGTCAGCAGAGGGGCACGAAAGGGAGTGGGGGCTGAGAGAGGCCCCAGATACCAAGTCCTGCCAATTTAGCAGGAGCCTGTCCTGGGGGGGCCTCATTACTCACCTCAGAGGGGGCTATTCCCCAAAGCCTGGTCTCCGCTCCATCCCAGCACCATGTAGCCTGGCAATTCACAGGCTACACAGCACAGTAGTGCAGCGAGAAATGGCCCCCAAGACGCAGGAGGCAGTGCAGTTTGCTTAATCTTTCACAGCCCAGCATTTGGTAAGAAGGCCCTGCCCGCTCCTGTCCTCCCTATATCCTATGGGAGGGCAATCTACTCCCCAGGCAGAGGCGGCTTTATAAAACAACTCAGTAAAGAGCTGTACCAAAAGTGTGCTTTGGGATGGGACCCTGGTTATCTGGGGTGCACTGTGAACCTAAGTTGCCCTTTGAGGCAATATGTTTGCTGTAGGCTCTACCTTCCTGGCTCAGCCATATAAGCCAGGGCCTTATGCGTGAGCAGAGGTAAGTCCAGAGCGGGACCCATGAAGGACTGTGGTCAGCCTCTAGGGTGGCTCCTGTAGTGGCTGCTGTGATGCCTGGTAGAGTATGAGTATGGGGTAGGGACCGAGTCAGTCAGGTGTCTGTGTTCCAAGGTGCCGGTGGGAAGTGACCTGGGCCCTGGAGGAGGGGTGCACACAGCCAGTGTCAGGCCACGTGGGCTGTAGCTGCTCAGGCACAGCCAGGCTAATTGGAGTAATGAAAGGACCAGAGGCCTCTCAGGAAAGGTAAATAAAATGACTCACCTGCCAGGACCTGGGGCCTAGAGGTGGGGCTTGCTCTGCTCCTCACCAAAAGGGGAGCAGCATGGAGGGAAGCGAGGAGGAGACAGGCCGAGGCTGGGTTCAGAGGGCTGGCTCTCCTCTGGCCCAGATGTACTGGGACTGGTAGAAGACAGAAGGCTGGGAATTAGTGAAGCCAGCAACTCCTGACCCTGAGGCCTCAGGCAGCCCATTCCAGACTCCAAGGCTCCAGGCTGGAGATCCTGATTCTCCTCCTATCCCTGGATGCCTGGGTGCCTGCCATGGGCACAAAGCCACTCTGAGCCAGCTCATGAGTATGTGAATATATGCGTTCTCCTTCACGCCGGCTGAGCTCAGGGTTGGTGACTGCCTTGGGGAGTATACAGCTCACCTGGGGCCTCCTGACAGCCCTCCCCACCCTGAGTCCCTCTGCCCTTGTCCTCTTTCACCCCTGTTCCCATCCCTGTCCCCAAGGGAACTGGAACAGGCTGGTGCAAAGGGAAGAGGTGGAGGCTAGACAGGTTCACTTGACCAACAAACACTGACCATGACCAGGCAGCCCCACAGTGGTGGAGAAGCCTTTTTCCAACTCAGCCCAGGATCCTCAGGCCCAGGGCCCATCAAGATCCTTTTCACCCCAGGGGACTTCATCCTTTCTCCATCTGTCTGTCCCCTCCCACATCTACTTCAACCTGTACCTCAGGTCCCGTCCCCCAAAGGAATGTTGGGTGCTGTCCAGCAGAGTGTGTGGATGCACACAAATACTGTGGCGGGAGGGAGTCTGGGTGTATAAATAGGAAATGTGTGTGTGCCAGGTGGGACAGGTACATAAATGTTCAGTGTCTCAGAGGGATGTGTTGTGTGGAGCTGTGTGTGTGCATGGCTGTGTGTGGCTTGCATGTGATCCCCCTAGAATCTGGTGTGTGTGGACGTTCACACAACCAAAATGACGGTGAAGACTGCAAAAAAGTAAGACATGGGCAGCCATCAAAGATCAACCCTAGGAGAGTCAAACAATGGGTGGCCAGGGGAAGAGACCCCAAGCCAGAAAGAAGTCTCCAGAGATTCTCCTCAAGGGGATAAAAATGACCTGAACCCACGGTGGAGATTTAGATGACTGGGGAGAGTCTAGGCCTTGGGATTAGTATACAGGAAACTAGATAAATGCAGCTAGATGTGGTGGTGCACACTTGTAATTTGAGCACTTGTGGGGCAAAGGCAGGAGGATGCAGAGTTCAGGGCCTGGATTAGCTACATAACAAGTTCAAGATCAACCTGGGCACCATGAGACCCTACCTCAGAAAACATAACAAAAGCTCCAAAAGTCTGAGGACAGAAGAGCTCAGTGACAGGATGCTTGCCTACCATGTGTGAAATTCTGGGTTCAATCCCCAGCACCACAAGAAACGAAGGATATTGGCATATGGTATTTATAATCCCACTGCTGGGAAGGCAGAGACAGGAGGGTCTCTGGGGCTAGCTAGCCAGCCAGTCTAGCCTAATCGGTAAGTTTCAGGCCCAGAGATCCTGTCTCAAAGAAGGTAGCTGGTCTTCCTGAAAATGACACCTGAGGCTGTTCTCTGGCCTCCATATACATGCACACACGTGCACCTGCACACATACACAAACACGCATAAAAGGAAGGAAAGGAGGGAGAAAGAAGGCAATTGGCAACTCCAGAGGAAGAAAATTGAATGGAAAAGCAAAAACAATTTACCATATGGCTCACTTCTGACTACAAACATAAGCATCTAATGTAAACATTCAAGCTTAACGTAATCAAAATCGTGGTGGGAAAAAGCTCTTCTAGGAGGGCTGAGGATGTAGCTCAACTTGGTATAGTGCCTGTCTAGCAAGCATGAGACCCTGATTTTGAGCCCTAGCGCTGCATAAACTGGGTGTGGCAACACATGCCTATGATCCCAGAACTTGGAAGGAGGCGGCAGAGGATCAGTTCAAAGTCATCCTCAGCTTCATAGCAAGTGTGAGGCCACCCTGAGACCCAGTCTCAAAACCAACATAGGGCTGGAAGGGACAGTTCTGAGGTTAAGAGCACCTGCTGATCTTGCAGAGGACCTGAGTTTGTTTTCAGGCACACATATAGCAGCTAACAACCTATGTAACTCTAGTTCCAAGGGATCCAATGCCCTCTTCTGACCTTGACAGGCACTTCATGCATGAGGTGCACTCATACACATGAGAAAATAAGCTGGGTGTGGTGGTGCACACCTTTAGTCCCAGCACTCGGGAGGCAGAGGCAGGCAGATTTCTGTAAGTTCAAAGCCAGCCTGGTCTACATAGCGAGTTCCAGGCTAGCTGGGGCTACAGGGAGACCCTGTATCAAAAAAACCAAAATAAATAAAAAATAAAACTAGCCCAGCGGTGGTGGCGCACGCCTTTAATCTCAGCACCTGGGAGAGGCAGGTGCATCTCTTTGTGTGCTTGAGGCCAGCCTGTCCCTCTACTGTGACATGCTATTCACATGGTAGCCAAAGTAATTCCCTCATGTGGAATTGGGCTATGTCCTAGAGGAAAATGTCAACTCCAGGGCCATGGTATTTGACCTTTGCATCCAAGTTGGAGACTCAATGGAACACACTTGGACATCAGAGGACATGAGCTGGGCATATATTTTGCTATGGTTATGCTCAGAAAGCATTTGTTGACATTTTGATTAAAGTAAAAGCTATGGTTGAGGTGTAACTCAGTGAGACAGCACTTGTATGAAGTGATTATGTGGATTTGTGTAGGCAGACAGCACAGGCAGAGGGGGCAGTCCCCAATCGGTAAGGGTCCTCTGTTTCATCCCTTAGCCAACTTGCTAGCCCCCTGCTTGGGTGAGAGTTACAAGGACTGCTCAAGGGGAACAGTGGCAGAACAGCTGGGATGGGCCTGCAGATCGAGACCTGCAGCTAACATCTCCACCCTATCCCCTTTCCATAGGACACTGGATGCAGAGACCTTATCACTACCATGAGCTCTCCCCTTGTAAGGTGAACTCTGTCTGGGTGGAACATGGCCCTAACTCCATGTGGCAGCCTTCAGCGGAGAATAAAATAGGCATGCTAGGTAAGGCTCCTGTCACAGTGGGCACACCTCCCTGAGCCCTGAGCCCAGCTGGCCCTATTTACCAAACCCCATCTTGCTGACCCCAGCTAAACCCTTCCCCTGCAGTTAGTCTTGACCTGGGGCAGTGCAGCACATGGGAGTCCACGTGTGGGAGGACATGGGCACTGGACTGCTCTTCCTCCACACCCACCCCCAGGCACTCTTTGAGACTTAAGCTAGCAGAGGCTAAGGGAGGCACTCTTGTGGAGGTAGGAGGCAAAGCACAATCCCTAATTGGGGGGATGGGGGGGCTGTAGAATCCAAGTTCCATAGCCCAGTTTAGGGCTGACCCAGACACTGGCCAAATTTATGTGAACTTGCTATATTGCAGGGGTATGTGGGCATGTTCAAGTGCTGCCTGAGGACCTTCAAAGCCCACATCTCCACTTTACACAGGCAGTTGGGTGCAGAGGGCTCACAGCAAGCCCAACTGGCTCTAAAAATAGTGGTGAGCTCACTGCATGGTGTTAGCCTTGTCAGCCGCACTCAGTCTGGGAGACCCCCCCATGCAGCAAGTACTAATTACCACTTGAAGAGGTTCAGACTAGCAACCTGCTCAAGATTGTGTGGCACCAGCCCCCCTGGATTAAGCCTACCACTCCACCTCCAGGAAAAGCCGAGAAGCTCCATGGCCAAGCTCAAGTGGACCCGTGTTTGTCTCCACACAGGTCATCACCACCAGGAGGCAGAAAGCACTTGGGGTAGGGCCTGGCTTAGTCCACTCTGGTGAGTATCCTGGGCTGTGCGCCTGGCCACCACTCCCAGTCCCAACAAGGGGAAATAGATTGAGTGACTCAGCCTAGGACATTCAGCCTTTTCAAAAGCCTAACAGGCCTGTGGGGAGGGGGGGAGTGGGCAGTGCCTGTACTTGGCACCCAGAACAGCTATTTATCACTGCCTGGCCAGTCTGAACCCCCTGGGGAGACCTGCCCTGCCCTGCCCAACCCACCCCCCAGGAGATACCCCTGGGAGCCACTTGAGCCTTGGAATACTCTTCTGGGAAAGCATGTTCCTGAAATAAATTCCGGTTTGGCTTCTTCTCAGGAGCAAGAACGTTCCAGGACTGTTTTCATGATTGAAGGTCAAATGCAACCAGGTCCCTCCTGGGCCCAGCAGCTGCCCAGGACTGCCAAGGAGCTGGCTCTTCTGAGACCATGGTCCATGCCATGCCAGGCAAACCGAAGGAGGCAGGAGTGCCACCTGCTTTGGGAGCCGTCATCCCTTCCTTGTGGGGAAGCTTTGTTGCCTGCACCCACCTGCTCTGGGGGCCAGGGGTTCACAGACCTGCTTGGCTCCCAGGGTCTTCACCACAGCCTCCACTTCCAGCTCTGTACAGCTGTGGGCTTCACGACAGGCCTGACAGACTGAGGCCATTCCCAGTGCCACCCACCTTTATTCAGACCCTCAGTCTCCAAAGCCACAGACACTTGGCTTCCAGAGGGCACAAGAAAAAGGAGGCTTTGGTGACCCTCCCAGCACACCCCAGAGAGCCAGGACAGGCCTGGCAGCACCCACTCCTTCAGGGTCAGTCTTGGCATCCCTGCCCAAGGGCACTGCTGTGGCCACAGGGCTGCAGGTGCCAGACTAGACCTGGGTGCCAGAGGCCCCTTCAGGCCCAGAGCTGGTGCTACTCTGAATCTGAGGCAAGGAAGGGGCAGGCTGGACAGTGGGGATGGGGGAAGAAGTTCCCCGAGTGTCCAGGCCAAAGGAACAGCAAGTGTCTATGGGAGAACCCACGCTGGACGCAGGGACTGCAAACATCCTGCTTTCTGGTCATCTCAAGGTCCCAACAGACAAACAGAGGCCCCCCTTCTCCCTCCTGATCCTGAAGTGGCCAGGAGGAAGGGGGCGAGGCATGGCAGGTAACAGCAGAGGGGGCTGGGGTCAGGGCCTCTGGGGCATAGGCAGGGCCAAGCGCCACCCAAGATGCAGCTGGCCAGGGGAAAATGACAGGGCCTAACGAGGTCAGACTCCGGCTCCCCTAGTGACGGGGCAACTTGCGATCACTAGAGAAGAAAGGAGGGGGCCTTAGGCATCAATCCTGCTGGCTCTGGGGTTTGCAGCCTGCTGGCAAGAGCACATTCTCCTCCCCCCTCCCGGAAGCAGAGTCACGGGAACAGAGGAAGCCAACATCAAGTGCACCCTGATCTTCTGGAGGCCAGGGGAGGGGTGCCAGGCTCTCTAGGATTTCTTGGCATCCTGCGTATTCCGGCGCTTCAGGTCACTCAGGTCGATGGGCTTGAAGGCTGTAGGGGACAGTCCAGTTGGTACTGGGGACAGGTCCCCAATCCAGCCCTGACTGATGGAGGCTCCCAGACTCAGGCTCCTTGGAAATGCCAAGAATGCAGGCAGGGGCCTCCCCCCCGCCCCCTTCCCATCCCACTTCCTCTGGGTCAGCCCACTCACTCTTCAGGCTAGGGTTAGGGACCTTCTCCACATATTCCTCCACTAGGCCCCGCTCACCACCTGGCAGCTGGCTGCGTAGGTCTCGCTCAACACCCTGCCAGGCTGCAACAGAAGGATGAAGGCTCAGTGCTCAGCAGCATGGAAGTCAACTAGGCATCTGCCCTTGATGGTGGACCAGATCCCTCTTTCCCTCAGCAGCCCCTGCCAGTCTCCCTCTGTCAGCTGAAGGTGTTCTGTGGAGGCCCAGATTGTCCTCCCTCCTACAACAGCTCTCCCTGTCCCTGTTCCTTCAGCAGGCCAGTCCCTTCTGTGCAATGGCCTCCCAGAACCAGTAAGGGCCATACACACCATTTTTATTCATCCCACCTCCCAGCCCATACATTCCAATCCCAACCACACCACCTCTGGCCACTTTAGGGACATGCCGTGTTCACAGCTGACTGTACTCTGTCTCTCCAGCAAGCCTCTAGTGCTAAGGACTGGCTCCAGAATACTGCCTCTTCTGGGGTCCTGCCCACTCCCTAAGCCCTCTTCTGGGGCTGTCATCACAGAGTCCTTGTCATCAATCCTGCTGGCTCTGAAACTTACAGCCACTGGAACATGGCGCCCTGCACCCCCCATGGAAAGTCCATTGCCTGGGACTTGGAAAGTGGTGGGGCATCCACCCTCAGGCGGCAGTGGAGGCAGAGGGCAGCATCCGGGGCACCCACCTTCATAAATGAAGCGGACATTCTCCTCGTGGGCTGGTGTGAAGATCTCACTGCTGTTGGTGGGAGAACGGGGACTGTTGTTCCTCTTGCCATTGTAGACGACTCTGGAAACAGGGGAGCTGGGGAGAGCCCCATGTGGGAGGGGATTAGGAGCAGGGCAGATTGGGGGCCCAACTCCCCCACACACTTGCCTCTAAGACTCACCTGGTCATCGCTGGGGTATCTGGTCCTAGCACTCTGAAGCTAGATTCCTGCGGCCTATAAAACAAAGGCCCCAGAGCACAGTCAGATGAAGCGTCACCTCTCCACTGAGGAAACACACTATGCCGCCCTGATGCTCATTGCAGACCCAGAGGCTGGGCCCAAGGCCAAGTGACCAGTGGGATCCGAGCACTTCTGGACAGCCTATGGACGTGGCAGTCAGTCCACACACTGCTTAACTTGGCCACTGAGTCACAGACACTGCTTAACTCAGCCACTGAGCCCATGTGTTTGGCCATATGTCCCACCCCACTCATCTCTCCAATCTAAAGCTCCCACACAAAATTGAGCGATGCAGACCCCACTGCTGCAGAAGCAGGATGCTGGCATTTACCATGTGCTTCTGCAAAGCCTTGGCCTCAGCTTCCTGACCATCCACAGGATGTGAGCCTAGTGATGAGACTAGCTGCCCTGAAACCCAGTGACACTTGACAAATGACCCTGCTTCCTGATTACCCAGTTCTGCAGGGCTTGAGTGTGAGCAAGTCAGTGCTCTAGGGACGCCAGGGAATCAGGAACTAAGGAACTAGGCCAGGAGGAAGGGATGTCCCTAGAGGGAGCAGTCAGTCCTGACCCAAAGACCAGAACCCTGGGGTGCAACCTGTTTACAGGCCAGGGGATTTCTCCTGCCCTGAGTGGGTGGGAGCATCTATTTTTAGGGTAAGATTCCCTTATTATCCAGCTAAGGACACACAGCCCAAGGCAAGGCACATCACACAGTTGGTCCCAAGCCTGGCCTGGCTCCAAAAGGTGCAACCCAGATGCTGAGGGCAGAGGGAATCCAGGCAGCTTCAAGCATGCCACCTCAGCCCTGCTCAAAGGCTCTTCTCTGGCCGGTGAGCCATCACATTAATTATTCAAACAGGTGAACACCCCAACAGTGTAAAGTCAGCTCCCATAAGGGCTCCAGAGCCCTGTGCCTGCCCCCAAGCCTGGCCTGCGGCCCAGGTGATGCTCACCAAGGAGCCTGTGCTTTCTTAAGACTTCAGTGTGCTGTTTCCCTGTCTCTAGCTCTCACTCTCCACCTTCCCCAACGTAGCCTGCCAGACACTGGAGCACAAGGAAGGCCTCTGGGGTGATGATGGCAGCTGGACAAGGTGGGAGAAGATCCAGTAACAGACAAGGACAGAAGGCGGTGCTCAGGAGCTACTGGGCTGGCCGGCTTCTAGGGCCCAAACTGCCTTCTGCCCTTCCAGACACCCTTTCTCCAGGGCTGGCTGCTGCTCTGGGGACTCCTGTATCCAGGCTGCTCTATTCTTGTGCCTCTCCTCCCCATGTAGCCTCAGGTTCTGGTGGCCAGAGTTTCCAACGGCCTCCTGGTTTGCACACATACCACGCCTCTGCCTTGGTGCTCCTGCTGGCACCGGCTCAGCTGGCAGCAAGCTTTGTGTGTGGTGAAGTGGAGAGAAACGAGCATGTTCACCAGCCAGGACCGAGAGAAGCATACCACCAAACGTGCAGAGTCCTAAAGAGGTGAGCATGATGGGATCTAAGACCCAAGCAGGTGCGGTGGGCTAGGGAGAATGGACGGGCCTGCAGAGACACATCTGAGGGCAGAGGCAACCCAAGTAAAGGTGGATGGTGATCTAAGGTCACCCAAAGGGGCTCCTTTTAGAGTGAGCAGCAGGGAGAGGACTATGTGCTGTGCCCAGGCCTCTGTCCCCTGGGCCACCTCAAGCTCCATCAGACACCTCCCTAAGCACGCTCTCCTCTGTCACAGGCACTTCTTCAACATCCTAGTCATGCACAAGGCATTCCACCAACTCCATGATACATTTTGGGTGTTTTTAATTGTTGCTTACTTTTTTTTTTTCCCTGTCTTTTTGAGACAGGATCTCACTGTGGCCCGGCAGCTGGCCTAGAACTATGAAGACCAGGCTGGCTTTGAACTCATAGAGCTACACCTACCTCTGCCTCCTGAGTGAGTGCTAGGACTAAAGGTGTGCACCACCACGCCCAGCTGTTCCTTGTTTCCTTTATGACAGGGAACCCACACTGGTCTCAAACTCACTATGTAGTCAAAGCTAGCCTTGAACTCCTGCTGGACCTCCTGCCTCCACCTCCCAAGTGCTGGGATTACAGGTGTGTACAACCACACTTGGTACAATTCCATAATCCTTTTCCTCCGGATCACTGAGATTGTTATTTCTGACAGTCTCTAACGTCAAAGTCTAGCAATGTCTTTCTTTTTTCCTTCTCACAATATTGGAAATTAAAAATGGGTCCTCATGCAAGCTAGGTAAGTGCACTACCGAGCCACAACTTCAGCTCTCTTTTCTTTTTATTTTGAGACAAGACTCTAAGGTATCCTGGCTGGCCTTGAACTTGTAATCCTGTCTGCTTCTCAAGTGGCCAGAGTTCCAGGTCTGTGCCACCAGGCTTAGCTGGCAGTTTTTGTTGTTTTGTTTTTCTTAGGTCGTAAGATGACGCTCACAATGATGGTATCTCAGATCTGATGCCCCTCAGCAAGTTTCCTGGCTCAAGGACTTCGCCACCAATCTACTTATTTACCTTCTACCCTGCCTGCCCCTGGCTTGCACACCTATCCCTGCTGCCCAGCTTCCCCCAGCTCCTGAGTGGGTACAGTTGGCAGCACAACTTTCTGATACTTTTCCGTCACTCCCCAGTGGGAACCGCTCCGGTAGTCTACCATGACAATGCCCTTGATGGTGTGGTTTTCTCCTGTGTCACCTGCCCCAACCCCCACACGCAAATTGTAGAGAACTACCTTCCTTTATTTTAGTTTTTCAGAGATAGGATCTCACTATGTAGCCCTGGCTAGCCTGGAACTGGCTATTATCGAGTAGGATGGCCTCGAACTCACAGAGCTCCTCAGGCCTCTGCTTCCCAAGTGCTGTGTGTGAGCCCCGATGCCAGGCCTACCTTTCACCTTCTACTTTCTGACCTTCTGGGCACAAGGCTTTGCAGAACTTGACTGCCTATTATTTTTCTTCAATATCTTATTCTATTTATTCTATGTGTATGACTGTACTGCCTGCACGTATGTGAGCGCACTCGTGTCCTGCAATGCTGCAGAGGTCAGAAGAGGGCCTCAGATTCCCCCGGAATTGGAGTTAAGGATGGTTCGTAGCTACCATGTGGGTGCTGGGAATTGAACCCGGGTCCTCTGCAAGAGCAGTTAGTGCTCTCAACCGCCAAGCCATCTCTCTAGAGCCTTGACTGCCTATTACTATCTGGCCAGAGCTCCTCCATCCCCTCTGTGGCCTCTAGACAAAGGCCCTCTAGGTCTGACATGTAAGGTGAAGTGGCCATCAGGCCCTTCTGCTCTGAGGGATTGATGCACAGCCTCAAGTGAAGTAAGTACCTGTGGTTCTTCATCTAACATGACGGACAGGACAGAAATACTGTATCATCTGATGGGCACATAATGAAAGGGATGCTCTACAACACTCAGCAGGAGACACACTTCCAGGCCAACACCATTGAGGTGGAAACCCAGAAAAGTCCCGGGACTGACAATCCCATAGTTGGTAGCAGGCACCTGCCAAGGGACAGCCACAGTGTAGCCCTGTGTTGGGGAATTCACACACTATCCCTGCTTGTCAAAGCCGGGCCAGGAGGAAGGCATCTGACCATCTCATGTCCCAGGAACGAAGCCACGGTGATCCAAGTGACTCCCAGACCCCACCCCTCCCAAGACTTCTAGGACTGCAGCAGCTGGGTGGGGTGATGCTGAGTGCCCCTGTACTCCCTGAAACACCTGCTTCCCACGGACATCTATGTGGGTCTACCCAGATTCACCCTGTTATTGTGGGGGGGGCACTTGCTTTCTCACTGAATGGGTCTATTGTATGTAGAACCTTCCTCTTCTGTGGGACCCAAGGCCTTCAGAGAGTTTCTGTTAGGCAAGGGGTGGGAGACAGCACAGTGTGCAGTAGGGCCAGAACCCATCTCAGCTCCCTCCAAAAGACATCCGAATACCAGGGACATCGTGCAAGGTGGTGGTGACAGTCTGTGGTTAGCGAAATGACAATGGGGATCTTGCTATCCAAGATTCTGTCCTGAGAAAACACGTCTAATGTAGCCCTGGCGGGCCTGGCATTTCTGATTTGCCTCCACCTCACAAGTGCTGGGATGACAGCTAGGCACTACCACTCCCAGCTCCAAATATTAACCCTCCTTTCCCTCCACGTCCTGCGTCCTCTACAAACGGTGAGACCAGCCAGGCAGGCACCACAGTGCTGTGACGGCTGGCCTTGCTTCCAAATGAGAATGTCAGCTCATCAGACCCAGACCCGGGATGTTCCTCTCCCCACATCCTCTAACTCACCTCTTTCAGGAGGACCTGGCTCCTGCTGCCCTGCTGCCCTCCTGCCCCATCCCTACCCTCTAGATGCCCTGGACTCCGCCCGCCGCATCCCCTCGGTTGAGCCTGCCCTCTGCCTGGAAGGCCCCTCCTCCAGGAGGCCCACCCGGGGCCCAGGCCTGCTTCTGAACCAGCGGCACGGCACTTCCGGCCCCTATCCGTGCAGCCGGGGTGTCCCGCGGCTCCGCCCTGGCCCTGCGCCGAGCCCCGGCCCCAGAGCGACCGGAAGGCACTCGACTCTCGGAGAAGCCGGGAGGTCTGGCAGGCGCGTCCTCCCGGAGCAGCCCAGGCTGCCCGGGCCGCGGGTGTCGGTACCCCCCGCGCCGGCAGCTCCGACCCGACGGGCTCCTCCCCGCGGCCGCCAAGTCCGCGTCCCGCGGCGACCCCGCGACCCTGGGGCG